TCACAACTTGGCAGTAGGATAGATTTTCACAAAGGATTCTGCATTACTGATAGACTCAGTTACAGCAAAAATAACCAGTGGCAAAGGTATGTTGTGTGTTCATCTCTTATGTCTGCGTTGCTGCTACGAGGCGAAGTTAATCTGTAACTTAGGTTTTGGTTATGAGAAAATCCAGTGTGAAATCAGCATTCCTATAGCATCTGGGGTCTTTTGGCTTTTCATGGTTAGGTACCTGTTCTGCAAGGAAGTGTTACAGAATGGAAGTAGTGTCACCTGAGTGAAGCACAGTGATTCTTTGTTTGTGACTAGGCAATGAGTATTTTCCCACACTGTCCCCTGGAAAATGCTTGTTTATGTTAACCTCTTGTGTAAACTTGATTAGGCAAACCCTGAGTGCTTGCATCAACCAGGACATTCAGAAGTGTTTGACCTTAACAAGGAATTTATTTTACGTATCTATGGAGATGATTGGAAAAGATGAAAAAATAGAGGTGATTTGTTTTTAAAATGGCAGCATATTCGCTAAGTAGTTGGAGCATTTCTTGAAGCAGCTCTGAGACAGAGTTATTCTGGTCTGCAATGCAGCTCCATGGCACTCAGTTATTTCTGTCAGCTTGGTCTAAGGTGTAGGAAACAGGCTTCTCCTGTGTTTGTTTCTGTGGCTGGTTTGAGGAACACACTGTAGGCATTGTACCTGTGTCACACAGCAAAGAACACTTTCAACTGTGATTCTCGTTAATCTGCAGAAATTGCTCTGCAGGAATTATGAACCATACAACAGAAGTAAGAGAGGATGCTTCAATCGAAGAAATCAAGTCCCACTTCACTGAAATAGCCCTCTTGTTACCCTCTGTGGGGTTGGGGGAATTGTGTCTGTGTTCCCAAATACAGGTCACACTTTGGTTAAAGACCAGCAGTGCCTGTGGGAGCCTGGTGGGAGCCCATGCAGAGGAGCCATGGATTGCAAAGGCAAGAAGGCTAAATTAGTGATTTGAGAAGCTCCTGGGTACAAGAGCAAGGAATGTTCTGGTAAAGTGGAACTTGTGTCAGTGTACCAATTATGTGGGTTTAGTAGTAGGCTGTCTTAGGTATTGGCTATCCCATTTTCATGAGTATTCGTGTCAGAAAAGGAGTAAAATGCCAGGATTGTGGGAAGAAAACTTCACTATTCTCAAGCACACTTATTTTTTAACTCTGAAATTTCTGTGGTGGATGCCTTTTTGCCAAGAAGTTGAGCGTGTCTGTATGTACAAACTAAGACTTGGTGTCTGTTTATCTTGGCAATGGTGAGCTTCTCTGCACAGCAGTGTGATTTAGATCTCACACAAGACATTTTCTTTGTTAGTGCATTACCAGGTACTGAGTAGTGTAAGTAATGTGTTTGCACAACACTCAACTTTCACAGGGTTTCTTCAGAAACATCCTCTTGTGGGAAACATGTTAGTGTGTGTGAGATTTTTCTTCTGCTTGCTGCTTCAAGTCTCAGGTAAAAAAAAAAAGTCAGCTCATTACCATACTTTGGCCATTTCACAAAAATCTCCAGCAACTACTGTAACTAGAAATTGATTGCTTGGTCATTCTGTGTGTTCTTAGTCCTCAAGTTTGTGCCCTGCACTCTTTAAGAGGTGCTAAGTTGAAGAAACCACCTCTAACTGTGGCTGTTTTCTGTTGCTTTCAGGAGATTTTTACTGGGAGCTGGTCAGAAACCTGGCAATTGTTATCTGTGGGCTCTGTTGCTATTTGTTCTTTTCATGCTGGCTGGCTTCTCAAACTGATTTGAACAGAATGGCTGTAGAAAATGGATGGTTATCTTGATCCTGGTTGTCACAACTTAGGAAAATGTCACCTGTAAATATTTAATGAGCCTTTGTGCAACTGACCTGATCGAGAACTGAGTAATGATGCAGTTGCAGGAGTCGTGGCTTCTGTAACCTGGATCTGCATGGAAAAGAGAGCACTTTTCCTCTGTCAGGCTTTGTATTGTTGCTAGCTTTATTCTTTGATATTTTAAGTAAGTGGTGTTTTTTTGGAGCTCTGCCTTAACAGCCTCCTCTTTCTTAGCTAGCTTGTTTTTCTGTGTAGGTTTTTTTGTTTGCTTTTCTGTGTGGGTTTTCTGCTCCTTGCAGAAAGGGGACAGAATGCTCAGTAAACAAAAGCTGAGCTCTCCTCTCTCCTACTTCTGCAGACAATACACCCCCCCCTTTTATCATCTTTTAGATTTTTTTGGTCAGTTCTTACACTGTTTCCCTGTGCTGGAGAGTGAGTTCAAACTCAGTTCAGAAGACTCTGGTGAGGAAAGGGTCTTACACAAAAAAATCCATCAAAATGCTCTCAGATGAGTTGGAACTTAAAAATACTACCAAAGCTGTTCTAAGAGGAAAGTAATGAAATGTGGAGAAACAGCTCTGATTTTCAGCAGGCTAGTAACTATTGAAATCCACAACTTAAAATCCTCCAAGTAACATGGGGAAAAGTTAGGATAGCTGTATCTGTATCACATTTTTGCTGGTTTTGTGGTGCTTTTCACAGTGCCTGATTTTCGTGTAGTGTCAATCTGAGCACATTGGACTGCTATCCCATGTATTGTACCAGGACACTGAATAATTAATATCCTCTGGAAAGGATTAATTCCCTCCACTCTTGTCTCATCCTTCTTGGTGCCCTGTACGTGCTGCCCGTTCTTAGCAGAAACTTGCTAATAGAGATTTTGTTTCCCAAGAAGAACTTGTGCTGCAGCACAAACGCTTCTTTATGGTCTGCCTGCTCTTAGTTGCCACCATACGAAGCAAATACATCATATCTCCTTACAAAGTCTCAGGTAATTGTTTCAGAAATGTTGAAGCTCAGAAATGACACATAGCCTTGAACACTAACTTTAATAATCTGGCAAGCAGCCTGCCCACTTACCAATGTCTGTTCACCAGCTACTGGTATTGTAGTTTATATTTATATTGCAGCCCCAGAAATGGGTAGTCTTTGTGTATCAAAATATTTCAGTGACCGAGGAAGTCTTCCAGGATGCTCCTGAATTCTCAGGAGCACTGTGTCCCATAGTGGCAGCTGTGCCTCAGTACTAATGCTACAAGAGAGAGCCCCTGGGGAAGTGCAGAGGGGAGAGGGACACAATTTTATGTGATGCAGGGAGAGAGGAACCTACTGGGAAAAGCAGTGCACTGTTTACCCAGGATGCCTAACTTCCCATGAGTTCCTTTCTTCCTTTACGCCGGGGGAATGACAGTATGCATGTGTTAGACTGAGAAAGTTCAGCCCAGTACTCTCTGTCAAATACCAGTCCTTGGGAGCCCCTTGTTCTCATGTTCAGCAAACAAAGCTGCAGTCACTCTGTCAGCACCTTCTTCTTTTGAGGTGGCTTTTTGGCTTACAAGGCAAAGATGGGTCTTCCTTTAGACTGTTCATGTGGGCAAAACACTAATTTAGTGCCCCAGCCCAAAGAAATTATCTAGTCACAGCAGTGATTTTAGAAGGATCTAATGTCAGTGATGGAGAGCCTTTTGTTAAACAGATTATCACAAGGCCACAAAGGCTTTGAAAGTAAGAACACATCCAGTGCAAACACGGAGGCTCCTGGATAAGGAACTGACCTTTACAAGTTTCACAATCTGCATCTCTGGACTGGCACAATGAAATTGCTTTGACAACAGTGCCTGGCAGGGCCAGGACACAAGTTTGTACCTTTGGTTGGGCTTGCCAAAGTGGTAGGTAGCAATTCAGGTGCTGGTAATTTGGCTTTAGATGTTTTCTGTGCTGCTGAGGGCAAATACCGGACTGTCTTATTTCACAGTGACCTAGAACAACTGACCTTTGTAGGAGATCTCCGGTTGGGGCAGTTAGGGATTTTTCCTTCATATTCTTAAACAGTGTAGCGCTTTAAAAAAACAAACAGACTTGTTTTTTAATCAAACTACACAAGATGAATAAATCTTAACAGGACAATCCTGATTAAGTCACCATTGTTCTTCTTCTTTTTGTTGCTGTTGTGCCTGATGGGCGCTGGGAAATCCCTAAGACTGTTTTCCTCAACGGGGAAAGTCTGTGCTCTCCTTAGGGAGGACTGGATCACTTGTGCTGCACAAGTGCTTGCTCTGTGAGGGAATGGAAGTGGCCTGGCACAAGAGGGGAAGCCTAAACGGAGGTCTAGGTGAGAGAGAATGCACCAGAAAATCCAGGTATGGTTCCTGCACAATGCAGTGTGGAAATGCCAATTATGGTTGACCTGACCCACAGCAGACTGCCCTGAGCTGCTCCAGGAGCTGCGGAGGAACGCCCAGGGTTTTGGAATCATAAACATTTGGCATCTTCTATTTTTGAAGAACAATGAAGTGTCATTGTTACCTCAGCTTGGCAGGAAAGCAAGTCTTAAAATACCAGAATTTCCCGTCATCTGGGATTATTTTTGCTGCCCGTGGATGAGCGCTCTGGGAAGGATCTCAGCAGGCGACAAGAGCTGGGAAGCGCAGCTCCTTGTAAAACTCCTAGTTTTCACCAGGTGCGTTCTGAGGTGTCTTCAGTAAACAGGTGAACTCTGTGCTCTTGCTGCACCGACAGCGCAGGCGGCCGGTGGTTGCAGACCGTAACTTCTCTAGCACTGCCTGGGGCCCGGGGCCCGTGCGGGGAATCCCGTCCCGTCCCATCACATCCCAGGCCAGGATCCCGGGCAGCGCCGCGACCCCGCCCTCCAGGCCCGGCGCAGTCTTGTCGCTGCCCCATTGGCTGGCGCGCCCGTCACTCCCGCCGCCCCCGGCTCGCCATTGGCCGCGCGGGGCACGCCCACATTCCACAGCTGGAGCCCCTCGCGGTCCCCGCGCCCATTGGCCCGCGAGCCCCGGGCCGGCCGCGCTGCTCGGCCCCGATTGGCGGGCGGGGCGGTGGGGGCGTGTCCGGGCGGGGGCGCGGCCGGCGGGGGTGACCCGCCCGCGCAGTCCCGGCCGAACGGGGGGCGAGCGGCGGCTCCGCGGCCCGGGGCAGCGGCGGGGCGGCGGACGGACCGACAGACCGAACGACCTACTGACTGCCCGGCCGGCAGGCGTGTCCGCGGCCGCCATGGAGGTGTGCGAGAGCGGCGGGGAGCAGCCGCCGCTGCTACACTGGGACCGCAAGCTGAGCGAGCTGTGCGAGCCCGCCGACCCCGACACGCTGCTGAGCCACACGGTGAGGAGCGGCGGGGACGGGGGTGGGATGGCTGGGACGCCCCCGTGGGCGGCCGCGTTTGGGGGACCGTGGCGGGGTCCTGGCCGGAGGAGGCGCCTTTGGCCAACAGGTGCTCCCCGGGGTCCCTCGCCGTGACCGCCGCCCCTCCGGCGCTGGTGTCCCCCGGGCCGAGGTGCCCCGGGCAGGCGGTGGGGTCCCCTCTGTCCCGGGGTGTCCCAGCTTCTCCCCTCGGAGGCTCCCGGCAGCCGGGGCTCCCTCTGCCCGCGCGGCGCCGCCGCTTCTCCCGGGCACCCCTCAGGAGCCGCGGGACGCGTCATCTTCTCCAAGGCGAGACGCTCCCGGCACCGTCCCGCTCCTCCAGGGCAGGAAGGAAGTGACAGAAGTTTTGATGTTTGGTTTTTTGTGTTCTTTTTTTTTTTTTTTTTTTTTTTGGCTGGAATCCCCGTATTTTGGCTTGCGCAAAATGCATAGTTAGGACAGTCCCGAGGAAATGAGTCTTGTTATCTCTGCCCTGTGGTTTCTCTGATTATCTGGGAGGCATTTTGCAAGTGCGGAGATACACCTTTATAACGTTATAAACCTTTATAACGCTGTGTGGGTGCGAATCCTAAGTGGAAGTGAGCTGAAGCACTTTGGGACAGCAGCGTGGAAGACTCTTCCAGTCCGCTGTTTGTGTGAAGCACGAGGCAGCCAAGCTTGGCGTGGCTGTCGAGCACGTGCATGGATGGAGCCCCAGAGGAACATGGTGGTGGCAACTGGATCATGGCAGCGCCCAAGGAACGGCGCTTGGCAGGTGCTGCCGTGTGCCCCGCGCTTCTTCCTCGCGCCGAAGAGAGTGATGTGCAAATACAGTCCCGCGGAGAGGGGCCAGGCCCTTCTCGTGGGAGCAGTGGTGATCCCGTTGCACGATGGGCGCCCTGCGGAGATCTTGGTGTTAGTCTTGTAAGGCAAACAAGGAAAATCTTGTTTGTTGTGTGTGGTATGCGATAGCCTTACTGATCCGGGATCACGTCCGTCACAAGCTCCAAGCCTCCTTTCAGCAGGAAGCAAGCTTGCTGCACGCTTGACTGTCTTTAAACATTGTTTGGCTGCTTTTTCTCTAAGAGTTCTTGGGCTTTCTTGCACAATGTGTATCTTCTGGTAGATCTGGGGAAAAGGAATTGTATTTATGGTGGCTTGGGGTTTTTTAAAGAGGCAACTGGAACACTTAAAAATGGAAAGCTCTTCCATCGAACAATTGTTTCCTTGAGTTTTTTCATTATCCAGAGGAATGTTGTGAATGAAATGGGAGGCTCTTTGGAGAGTGTTCCCCTTCCGATTTATGGTTGTGGTGGTATACTTCCTCCTGCTTTGTTTGGATCCTTGTGATGAGAATGGACTTGTCACTCTTTAGTCTTCTTATTTATTGTTCTCTTATCTTCTTTAATTAATGCCCTGAAGGAAACTTTATGCTTGGGAAAGGACTTGTGACTGTGGTGACATGGATATGTGTATTTTCTGCCCTGTTTCAAGGAGCCTGAGACTTGAGTTTAAGCATGTCTTGACAAAGAAAATGTCCTGGCTATGTGGTGGATGGAAATGTGATGCTTTTCCCTTTGCTGTTTTCAAGTTTTATTGGGCATTTTCAGCTTCAAATGCTATGATGATGAGTGTTTTGCAAGGGACAGTGTGTAGCTGGGTCTGCAAAGTCTTGGGCTGTGACCACTTTTTTGGGGAGTAACACTGCCACTGATTTGCGTGGTTGTCTTGTTTGATTGTTTTTTGTTTTTCTGGAGTTTAAGACTTCTTTAGAGACCCTCTTGAAGTCACATAAAAAGTGTGAGATCCATTTCTCTTTTTGGTGGTTTTTGGAATTCATCTGAAAAAAGTTTCAGCAAAAACAATCCAACTAAAGGCTATTAAGTAGGTGTAGTGAGATATTATGATCTTTAAAGGAGAAAAAAGTTTTATGAAATTCACATTCTCTAGAGGGAAAAAAAAACCCACACTTCTGCCTGTTGAACAATTTTTGTGAAGTGTGCCCTACCATGTGGAGAAAAATACTGTGCTTGATATCATGAAACACAAGATCTCTATTTACCTCTGGCCAAAACTTCATAAAATCATTTGAAAAAACCCAAACAAACAAACAGGCTCTCTAGATGAAACATCTGTTCTTCTCCTGGCTTATGCTTTCCATCTGGGAGGACTGGTTTGACCCAGCTGACTCTGCTGTGTTTGTAAACTTACTACAGGGTATTTCTGAAAAGACTGTGGTGATGGAGGAGACCCTCCTATGCTCCATGTACAGGAGTGCCCACTGTATGCTGTCATCCTCATGGCTGTGGAACACGTGCCCTATGGAATCCTATGGTCTTTGCCCACTCCTGGGATGTCTCTTAGCTGGATGTGCAAGTCTGCATCCAAGGGAACTTTGAAGTGGACTAATGAAAGGTGTCTGGGTCAGTCAAAACCCCTAAGAGTGTGAGCTGGACTGGCAAGGGGGAGGAGGGATAAGATGATGATGATGTTGACTGAGGGGAGAGCTCACAAGTAGAAAGAAGGATCAGTGTTGTTCCACAGTCAGACCTGTGTGTGCAGACTGATGAGGGTGAGAATTCTGTGCCAACCGCCTTTTGTGTATTTTAAGTTAAATTTTAACTTTCTTACAACTATAAAGGCTATTCCTGGCTCTGGTTGATTTGACGGTGGTAGACAAGTGTGAAAGTACGCATGCACTGAAAAACTTGACCTCTATTTTAAACTTTTCCAGCCTGCCTTAATTACCAGGGCTGAAATCCAACCTCCTGGGGATTTACATTTCTCTTTAACAGCTGATGATTTCACCAGTGCCTGAAGCTGTGTGAGGAGCCATTCCCTCACTCCTCTGGTACTGTCAGTGATGTCATCAGCTGTGCCTGGAGAAGGTGGGACCTTGAGGAGCTCAGCTCTGGTGTTGGCAGGCAGCAGTCCTTGAGGTGGCTCATTAAAGTCCTCATAGTTTATAGTACTCACCTGGATGCCAGATAGCTTTAGAGCATTCATTTTTCCAGAGTGGCTTAGTTTCCCATCCAAGAAAAGGCTGAAAGGTTTCCCAGAGTTGTGTTCATGGCACGTGTCACGTGTTTGCATTATCTAATTTTCCTATGTGCTGTAGCTTGTTGTGATTGGATGTTGGTAATGCTGTACACAGGCATAGTGTAAGGCATTATTATTATTATTATTATTATTATTATTATTATTATTATGTGCTTTTTCTTTTTCTTTTCTGACCAAGCAGAAAGGAAGCACAATACCTGCCACTGCCCAAGGAGAGCAGAAGTGTGGCCAGGTGAACTCTTTGGCTTCTTGCTACTGCTGTTACTTTCCATAACACGCAGGCGGGCTTGAAGTGGGAGAGCTCTGCTTGTGGCCATGGGTCTCCATTGGAGTTGATTTGTGGTTGGACATGGCCCAGCTGGGATGGCATCTTCAGTGACAAGTGCCAGATCTGGTGCAGATGGATAAATGTGACAAACACGCTGTGACGTGCCAATGACCTGTCCCATTCCTGGATGGGGGATGAAAGGCAGATGGTTCTTAGGAGCCCTTGGCATTTAAAACCTCCTTATTTAATACTGGGGATGCAGTCTTTCCTCCCCCCCACCCCGTTTTCATGGTTATTTTAACACATTGGGTGCTGCTTCCAGATGGTAACAAAATGCAGCTGAACAGGAGCGTGGCTGTGATCTTGGCTTGGCAGGTGTAGAACTGCCGCTGCCCTACACATATGTGGGGACAGCAGCTGGCTTAAATATTTAGGACTAAATTCCTAGATGTCATGCCCTGAGTGTCTTGATGAGTGGTTAACTGGAAGAGACTTTAAATGCTAAGTAGCCCAAATTGTTTATTCTTTAAAGAGCTGACTATTGAACCTGAAACTCATATGAAAAAATTGAAGTTACTCAAATATTATATTGCTGAAGCCATTGTCTGAGCAGTGTTTGAACTCAGTGAGCCTGTTGCCATGTTGTTGGTGATGCTGTGGGCAGCTTAACCCTGGAATATGGGTGTAGTGCAGGTTGGGGTGAGTGGAGAAGGCTTCCTGGGCCTCAGTTACCAAGTCTCCCTGCAAAAGCAAAACCAAAGCGAACTGCCCGTGAAGGTTAATTGTCATGTTATCATCGTGTAAGATGAGCTCAGGAAACTTTGGGCTGGCCTTTTTTCCTCCTCATAAAAGCCTCTGAACCTCACTGGGAGCTTGCCCAGTGACTCATTTCCTCGGCCACAAAAATGATGGTTGCCGTTACTTCGTGTTTCTAATGACTTCTGCAGAAAAGCTGCCTCTGAACGAGCTGCCAGGGATCGCCTGTAGTTTTCAGTGTAGGGCAGTGGCAGTTGTTAATTTAAATGAACGACAGCGCTTGATTTTTATGGTCTGTGTGTATTTAATTAAAAGTTGGGGTAACCGCAGCATGTATCGATGTGGAGCTGACTGTATCTTATTTTGTGGTGGCTGCATGTAGCCATCTGGTGTCAATATAGTTGTATCCAGTTTTCATTTCATTCTGGTAAGGGAGAGAGCTACTTCATTTATTTGAAAGCGGGGTTTGGTCTGTTGCCCACTAACCATAAAGCTGAAATCTCTTGTTCTTTCTTCTCTGTACACCTGCATACAGAGGACAGGACAGCTGACTTTAGGTGCAATGTTTGTGCAGTCAGTACTTGAAAGGATTTTGCCAAAATCCTCCAGTAAAGAGGGAAAATGAGAAAGTGAGACTTTCAAATAGTTGTACATGTGCCATGTACGAAGCAGTAGTGTTAAATTTTGTCATTGACTTTCCATATTAAAAAAAATTATCAACATCATAATTGATGAACAGCAGAACTAGTTGTACTCAGTGCCTTGCACTGAAAGCCATTCTTCCCCCCCTTCATATATTCCCAAATTTAAATAAGAAAGTCATTCCAGGTTGCCAGTGTACATGTCAGGTACTTGTAATGGCTCTAACTGATCTACAATTCCTCTAAAAGCTGAGATA